AAGAAGTTATGAATAAATAGCATTTGTAAATTCTGAACGCTGATTGGCTAAGAGCCGTGTTGATATAACTCAATGTCAACACGGGAAATTTTCCGCCGCTTGCAAACACCATACAATTTCTCGTTTTCCCAATTCCACTCGTGTTGATATAACTGTATAACTATATAGGCTACGTCTCGCTACCATACGGTCAGAATGGAACTGACGGGGCTAAATATGACTCGTGTTTACTAAAATAGAAAGCCATATTAAATGCTATTTAGAAGCTTGAAAATAATGCCGAATATGTCCAATCTCCTCATCTACTTAAATTAAACCTGCCAATTAAGGTGAAAGCGTAGTTTTGTATACCAGTATGGTCCAGTGTTGATCACAACTTGCGAGTATATAAATAACATCAACGAATATACGACCAAAGCTCAGACTCAGTATGGTATATTTGTATATAATTTTTTTTAGTTGAGCACATTTTTAAGAATTTGGTTATGTAGACATCGAACATGATCAACGAACATTGTCGTATTTACAAGGTTATTTGTATATATAAATTTTCCGCCATATTAAAAATACTGAAATCTGCTAGGCGTTCTGAAGCACCTTTCAGGGCCGCCCAGAGGAGGGGAGCAAAGGGGGCAAATTGCCCCGGGCCCCGAGTTGCTGGGGGGCCCTGAAAAATTTTTGTTGGGCCCCAGCCTTTTTTGTGTGTTAAATATTTCCGCGCAAAGGACAAGATATCTGTTTTCTTGGGCTAAGCACGGGCAATAGGACAGGTGTAGTGTTGTTAAATAAAAAGTTAGAAATGGTATTGTACTTACCCATGTATTATAATTATGTTTAGAAGATCAGAATATTCATAACTTCTTATTTTGTTTCATAAATAGTTCTTTAATATTCGAAATTCTGATCTTCTAAACATAATTATAATACATGGGTAAGTACAATACCATTTCTAACTTTTTATTTAACAACACTACACCTGTCCTATTGCCCGTGGGCTAAGTACCGAATGTTGGCATTAAAAAATGAGATAAAGTCCTTGCAACGTACTCGTCCGGAAAAATTTTGTACTCCGGAAAAACTTTTTTACCCCTAAAATGGTACACTGACCGAAAATTTTTTGGCGACGGGGGAGGGGGGGAGGGGGGGAGGTTGTTCTCCGGAAAAAAATTTTTCCGGGAAAATTTTTTTAGATAGGGGCCCCTAAAAAAAAGTTTGCCCCGGGCCCCCGCCAACCTCTGGGCGGCCCTGGCACCTTTAGCGGTGACGTCACACCTAGGTCCCAGTCTCGTACTACATCCACGTTCTTTTCTCGCGCTTGCTTCAGAACGACTGGGACTAGGCTGATCGCTGTGTATTCAGTGTTGCCAAGTCAGGGATTTTATCACGAGATCTCGGGATTTTTTTAAGCAGTTGGGATTTTTTTTTATTTTATTTTAAAAAGTCAATCTCGGGATTTTTTTTGGATATTTTGAGAAAGGGAAGTTCGAAACTTAGAAATCAATTTTTTGGTAAAATTGACCAATAAACAATTTTGTTAAAAATCCGGAGTTTGTCCGCTCGTATTTAAACCCTATTGAGCTGCATATTTGATGTCAGATTTCGTTTTTACAACATGAAGTACGAAGCTATCCTACCCGAAGTTGACGCGAAAACCACTTATTATAATGACGTAAAAAAATCGGAACACCGGGAATGTTTAGGGAATCTCGGGGTATTTTGGGAGCTCACGTGGCAACGCTGGTTGTGATAATAAATGTGGAGATTACGGCCATGTTTTTCCAAGTAGAAGTTAAATGTTTAGAAGATAAAAACATTGATTTTAAATAAACTCAGTGTGTTTTTTTTTAAATATTTTTCCGACCTACCGACCTGGGTTTTTTTAAGTCAAATCCGTAAACCAATAAATAAAAAAAGTCTCGCCTAAGACTCTAATTAACTAAGTGTTATATCTGCATGTGCATATCAGTGTTTATGGGTATATGACTGCATGTGTATAATCTGTATATCAGTGTTTACGCCGTGGTTTATGGAAATATATACGACTATCTTCGTGTTATAAAATGCGTTCTGTAAATCAGAAAAATATTTTTATAAATATTGCTGTAGGCTGAAAAGAAAGTTAAAGCCGTAATTGTCTATACCGCCTGATATACGCATTTCCCTGAGGCTGAGAATTTTTGTACATTTATCTGAAAATTTTTATACTTTACTACCTGCCAACCTCGTACCTACCTACAAGTTTCAAATATGATGAACTGGTGAATTAAAAGTATTTTTAAAGATAAATCATGAACAGTTTTAATTAAAGTGAGCATTCAGTCTCTGTTTGGCAGTGTCCACATGTTTACATTGTGATTTGTTTCAAAATCTATCAACCTTCAATAAACAAGACGCGCACTATTAGCAATTTAGCATTAAAATCGGCACAAAGTTTATCAACGTTTCACGTTTGCAAACAACAAATCTATAAATGGTATATTTTAGAAACAGATAAAAGCGAAAATATATAAACGTTGACGACTGACCGGTTTGATATGAAAATATGTTTGAGAGAGAATACCCAACTTCAAACTTTAAAGTATGCGATTTATTTGTTTCTTGACTTGACTATTGATAAAATGCTACAGTGCTTTTGTAATTTAAAAGCAAACAGAAGTATAAAATAGAAGTTAGCGGTCGCTTCGAATTATGTATCCTAAAATCCCACTCACTTGGTATTTGAAATTTATACTGGTAACATTTTCAAGCATGTAATTTGATACTTTGCCACTCTTGGGCAATTAATTTTTGTAGAGTCACGTGACCAGACATTACCAGGGTCTTTCCCAAACCGACCCTGGGTACGAGGATGCCTCGCTACGTAAACGTCAATCTAAAGGTCTCTAATCTTTCCATTAACACGACCAGACCGTTCAGAACGGTCAAATGGTTGAATGGAACTCAAAACGTTTGCCTTTCGGAACTATCTGACCGGAAAATTTAGATATAATTAGAATGAGGTCCATTTTCGCTAAATGTTTGAGAAACATAGACCAGATCTTTCCATTGATACAGAGACAAAAATTCAGGTCTGACTGATCAGGCCATTAAATGGAAAGCGCCCTTGGAACATGGACGCAAATAGATTCACATGCTAATTCATGCATTCAATGGTGACGTCATTTGAGATTTATACAAAAAAACACCCATGCATTGCTTTGGTCGACTGTCTTGTAACATGGCTACCTGATCTGCTGCGAAAACTATGTCGATTACTTCTATCAGATTCAAACTTTTTGTTGTTCTTTTTCATTTTAGCAAAACAGATGAATGGAAAATGTCAACAACAATTTTGTCACAAAATTCTTAAAGGTAAGTGTAGTCATATATTAACTTTGAAGATGATAATATTATTATTAACATTATTCAATCTGCTTGAAAACATATCGTGAATTCGCGCTAATAAAGAGCATAGAAATATATATTTCAACAGGATCTGACTCGGCATCCTTTTCCAATTACTTCATTGCAGCGAGTGAGACTTTCTTGCATTCTCCTGGTTTTATATTTGAGTCTAAAAAGATAGACGGGATAACCTAGTAAGATCATAGTCACACACAGAATTAAGTTAAGTGAATGATGTCTTGAAATAAATTTTTCAACAGAGTCGGGCTTCCATGGAACAGTCTGCCTGAGTATCCATTGTCGGATGGAATTGAATCATCTTTTTCCAGCTATGTTGCCATACAAACTCCAGAAACAACATTTGGACAAACTTCGTTTTGATGTTGAATAACGTGAAAAACGTTGTGGTACAAAATGTCCATCTTATTAATTCTCATACTATGTCTTGCTGTTGTCAAATGTGCATATTTATTTGGAGCATTATTCATGTGTAACTTTGTAACATGACTGATGTGCGTTTCTCTGTCTCATTGTATACGTAACACAGTGAATTTATATGTACAGTGGGTCTTAATTTAGTATTGTAGTGGTCTTGTAGTCTACACCTTGGTCTTGTAGTCTACACCATCAATCTATTATTAATTTCAATAAAAACAATAACTGTATAACATTTCTCACACAAACTTTTTCTCTTTAACATTCTAGGCTTAAGCATGACAAGTGATCATATCAAATCAAATCATTCTGCCTCTTCAATTTTGGAATGTGGAGATTTTTGTTTGACAGAAAAATGTTCAGGATTTAATTATCAATCCAGAAAAAACGAGACGGAAATTAATTGTCAACTTACATGCTTTCCTACATCCTCTAGTCTCATGACTAAAGATGCATCATGGGCTTTTTATCAAGTCGAAGAGTATCAGGTATATCACTAGTTTTCTCTGCAGGCAACAACAGTGTCAGTGTTAAATCGGCAACAACAGTGTCAAGTAAATGGCTGCCTCTCTAATAAAGGTGAAATAATTTGCGGGGTTCCACAAGGTTCTATACTTGGCCCGTTGTTGTTCCTAATTTATATCAACGATTTACCCAACTGTCTAAAGACAACAACACCCTGTCTATATGCAGATGATACCCAAATTTTCGCCTCTTCGTACGACTCTGTTGCGCTGGCTAATGATATAAACTCTGATTTAGAAAATGTCGCAGATTGGTTAAATATAAATAAACTCCAATCCCATCCTTCTAAGGCTAAGCTTATTGTCATAGCATCTAAACAAAATTTGACCAACAAAGTTGGTGAATTGTACAACAGCATTATCATGAACAATAGTGTAATTTCACCTGCTGTCTTGAATAAGTGTTTGGGGGGTTTTCTTGATGACAGATTGACTTTTGATATAAATATTGAAGAAATATGCAAGAAGATCTGTTCAGGCATAGGAACATTGAAGAGAATTAAACCATTCGTTCCGCAGACCTCTCTTGTTACATTATACAAATCATTAATCCGACCATATTTTGATTATTGCTCTACCCTGTGGGATACATGCGATAAAATATTAAAAGATAAATTGCAAATACTACAAAATCGTGTGGCTAGAGTTATCACTGGAGCAAGATATGATGATAGGATTAGATCAAGTGATCTTTTGGAAGGTTTAGGATGGGATAATCTACATGTTAGGCGGGCTAAGTTGAAGAGTATCGGTATAAAATCCTTAATGAAAATTGTTCGCCATGTTTAAGAGAAAGCCTTGTAAGACTTAGTGAACTTAATAGACGCCATAATTTACGAAATCAGGAAACGGATCTAGCACTTCCAAAACCAAAAACTAATTTTTTGAAAAGAAGCTTTAAATATAGCGCATCAATGCTGTGGAATAATCTTCCATCAGATGCAAAAAGAGCGACTTCGCTCAGTCAATTTAAGCGTAGTATTGCGGAACAGTCCTTTTAGAACCATGTTGACTTAATTATAGTTAACTCTCTTTATTTACTTTACTTGACTTTATTTTTCTCGGTTTGTTGTTGGGGGGAGATTGGGGGGTTCATATAATATTTCATATATTCTACTGTTTTATGTATCACGCCCTTCCTGTAAATCAGCTTTTAGTTGTGCAAGGCTAGCGTGTTTTGATTTTAAATAAAATTGATTGATGATCAGACATCTCTAGGGAAGTGGGTCGATCGGAATTATTCACGCGCAGAATCCATATAGACACTAGGAGAGGTGGCTAGGTGGGTTTTTCCGACCTACCGACCTGGGGGTTTTTAAGTCAAATCCGTAAACCAATAAATAAAAAAAGTCTCGCCTAAGACTCTAATTAACTAAGTGTTATATCATTCTGCATGTGCATATCAGTGTTTATGGGTATATGACTGCATGTGTATAATCTGTATATCAGTGTTTACGCCGTGGCTTATGGAAATATATACGACTATCTTCGTGTTATAAAATGCGTTCTGTAAATCAGAAAAATATTTTTATAAATATTGCTGTAGGCCGAAAAAAAGGTTAAAGCCGTAATTGTCTATACCGCCTGATATACGCATTTCCCTGGGGCTAGATAATTACGCCATTGACCAGTGCTTCACACAGGATCGCCAAAGCCACGGGACTGGCATACCCTTTCGCCCCTCTGAGCGGGGAAGCACGCGAAACACGTGTGAAATTCGAAACACGTGTGTATCACCTGAATTGAAACGAGTGTGTTTCTAAGCCATTTAGGCTGAACTTTAATTAACCATTGTAGTAAAATAAATGCTAAGCCAGTTATATGTGTACATATTATTTTACCATTTACTGGGGTTAATTACTTTATTTTGTGGATTTGTGCACGCATGCGCGAAAAAGATTTTAAACCCTATTGCGTTCTGCGAAAATAGGAATAAAGAAACTTAAAGCTGCGCACGTTTTGAAGAGTTACGACACTTTGGACATCACATCAGATTGACTGCTGTCGAAACTAATTTGTACGTATCCACGGACTGCAAGCTACTTGTAACGACGAAAGAGATTGCTCTATCGCTATTCCCACAGAATTCAATCTTCCAGCAATCGCCTCCCGAAAACTTTCCTTTCTTCGACTTGGTTTGAATAAGATAATTGCGTGCTTCGTACGTTAAACGTTAAGACTTCTTACACACGCGACGACATTCGTTTTGATACGATTCTGATTTCTCATAGTTTCTTTAGCCGATATCCATCTATTATTTCGCTTTGACAAGTAGTAAATTTGCAAACGTTTAAAGTAATCTATATTATTTCATTCAGTTGACAAGTAAATTTGCAAACGTAAACAATCTCTGTGATTGGCTAATTTTGACATTGTTGAAAGAGTAGTGGAATGACAAAACAGTATATCTAGTGCAGATTCTCTTTTCGTCCCTTTCCCTCTCCTAAGAGCCGCTATGCAGGTTAGAGCAATTGAGCTCCTAGTCCATGGTGGAAATCTCGCTCAAAATTGTCGAGCAATACTGAGATGCTTGCTGGAACAAAAGCTGGTTACAATGAATTTAACTATATCAATTGAACATTGAGTTAAATTGTCCATAGTCAGCAGAGCAGAAAAGCAAAAAATAAAACACTGAGAACAGCATGCAGCGAATTGTACGAGAAACCTTAAATAAATGTTTGCTTCGATTTTACATGTGACTTTCTTCTTCTGATGTATGTGAATGAATAGATCAGATATGAATGTCCAGATGAGAGCATAATCCCAGAACATTCCTAACTTATCTAATTGTTCACAGGGGCGAAACTAGCCACTTTTAATTCGGGGGGGAGGGTGTCGGCCAAAACCGATGATGCCCTGCAGCAAATTTTTATTTCTGGCCACTATTTTTCGTAAAAATGTGGAAAAATTTTTTTCCGGACATTAAAAAAAGGGTCAAAAGACTTTTCCGGACATAAACCAGTTAAATTAAGGGTCAAATAATTTTTCCGTATAAATTCCTGTTAAAACATGGGTGAAACCCTTAATTTTGGACCAATATCTGTAAAATTTAGGTTTATAAATTCTGTTCAATGAGTCCCTCTGAAAGCCCTGTAAGTTACTTCATAACTCTACATTCTAATCATTAGCTCTGCCAATCCAGATGATTTGCCCTGCCAATCCACATGATTCGTATTTTTCGGGGATGTCACTCATCCCCCCCCCCCATACCCCATCCCAACAAAAATTGCAAGTCGTGCAAATGGGTCGTTTGAAACGAACAGCTACGACAAATTATTATGAATGGAAACATTAGATGCCATGAAAACTCGCTTCGACCAATTTGACATGCGGCATGGTCAATCGAGATATGGAAACTCGCCAAAATGTAAACCGGTCTCTCGGTTAGAATGAACTGCGAATTTATGTTGACACGGCTTAACCGTGTACAAATCTTTTGAAATTATTAAAGGGGAAGTCAAGTCCGTAATGTAAACAAACGGTTTGTTTACATTTTGAACTGCTGTATTTTTTAAAATATGATGTACTGTCTGAATATCTAACACCATTTTGGTTCGTTATGCTTCTACATGAATATGAAATAGAGTTTGTGTTCAGAAAAATTTGAAACATTCAAAATTTGGGCAATGTTTACCTCAGAGGGCCCTCTATTGTTATGCGCAGAACCGATGCGCAGAACGGACTTGACTTCCCCTTTAATATTAATTTAATTTATATTTTTAATTCATAAACTTTGCCGACGAAACAAAAACAAACGCACATAATGAAATACAGTAGTACATGACCACGGCTTGGTGACCGCAACAGCGAATGGGCATGCATTGGCCAATTACTGCGGGCCAGACACAAAACTATCATTACACACATATATACATATACATACATTACAGGTGTGATTTTATTTACACTAGTTCAACTGCAACACGATATTGGACGTAACAGGCTACGAATACAATTACATTTCAGACATATACTCTAATGTTCTGTGATGTAAACTAATACTTGAGCAAATCCGTTTTAAATACAGTAAGGCTAGTATCCATAGTGAGGTTCAGTTCATCAGCAAGATAATTCCAAACTCGGCACGCTCTTACGAGGACGATTTTTGGTAGGACGATTTTCTGCATCAGTTAGGAATCACATATTTCAGTCTGTCTGATGAGGTTAATCAGGTTGTACGTTCTACGAGTGACGACGATAGCTGGCGAAACTTGGGGATTTAGCGTTACTAAACCATGTGAGATTTTGAAAAACAAGAGAAGGTCCAATTATTCATGCCAATAGCTTACGGGAAGACGATTTAAATACCGTAAGCTTGATTTATAGCTAACGATTGTGCTAAACAGTATATTTAAAATATATTTAGCAGCACGTCTTTGTGTTCTTTCTAGTCTACTTATAAATTCCACTGACTGTGGTGACCAAACCTAGCCAAAATATGATCTGTCAATGCCAGGTATATAACGCTCGTCTGGCTGCAGTATTCTTGATAAGCAAAGTGTTCCTTCAAACATATCCCAGAATCTTATTCGCTTTCGCTGTATGCTCATTTGCATGTTTTTCTTTTCACATTAAATCCGATGACAGCCACACGACAAGGTCTCTTTCGTTGTTAGTACTGGATACGATTGAGTCGTCCAACGTGTTAGAGAAAGCAACTGGCGCTTTTTTCCGCGTTAGCGTGTGATGTTTGCACATGGATTGGTTGAATAACAGCCCAGACACCGTTGACCAATGTTCCAGGGTTCCAAGGTCAGTTTGTAGAGCGTTAACATCGTTCTGTGATTTAATCCCCGCGCCGTGCGAGGGTACTAATTTTCCCTGGCTATTTACACCCGGAGAAACGAAAGCATTAGCGAAGTCTAAAGTTCATCAATGATCGCGGGCATGACCAACGATCTTGAGTGGGTGATCATCCTCACTGATCTCAAAAATATGGCTGATTGCATATAGGAGTGCGATAAGCAAGATTTCAATTTTAAAAGACATATATTTGGAAAATCGTTTCATACACAACAACAAGCTTGAAGCAATTTTGTTTGAAGAAATGAGAAGAATTGATTTACTATGGTAAATCGTGAAATATACGGCAAGTTTGCTTTGAATATTTAATGTTTACGAATTTTGTTGCTTTAACTTTTTGCCTAAAAACATGAACTGTTTTCCTTTTCAACGAAGCTCTAAGTTTCATAAATTACCGTTTAATTTGAGAAAAAATAATCTTAATATGTAAAGGCGAACAAATTGATTTGAAGACTGAACTGAAATTACCTAACAAATTGTTTTATTTGTATTAAACTTGTTTTATTAAGTAAAAACAGTTTATCTGCAAAATGTAGTTTAGTTGAACGGAGGGTCTAAACTGCAGGTTGCAGGTTAATGCAGGTTGTTGCAGGTTAATGCAGGTCAGTGCAGGATTGCAGGTCAATGCAGGCCGGGTAATGGTTCATGTGGTTAGCACTATTTTCCATCCAGCAAACTGACCTGACGTCATTTTCGGAAGAGGTGATATTTGCTGGTTGGTGTAATGTACTCAGGTGAATAAAATGCTTGTGATGTTACTCTGAGTGTATATATTCACACCGGGCAGGCTTGAAAAATATACCTGGCCACGGTGGGAATCAAACCTACGACCTTTGGAATACTAGTCCAATGCTCTGCCAACTGAGCTACGCGGTCAACCTCGCACCCAGGGCTAGCCGCGAATTGAAGGCGGCGGCGTAGCCCTGGTAAACGCTGGTCACGTGACTCCAACATTACGTAATTGTTACTTTTCTCAACCGGGGGGTGAATGCTAGAGGTAAAACTCGAAGACAAACTGTTTTTATCTCAGAAATTCTTCAATCTTCCCTGTGAATTTTGCATTTCAAGCTTTTCCCAAAGTGCGGCGATCGATCAAATGGATCAATACCTTCTGTGAAAAAACTCAGTTGTTGCAACTTGCAAAGCAAATGAATGCAAATTCAACTCTTGTATAATGACTAAAAGTTGGTTTGTAGAGGGATAATTTATACAAAAGATATGAATACTTGAGCTTCAAACTAGGGACAAGTTCATGGACAATAATCCCTAATATATATGGACATTCATTTGATATTTTACCAATATGTAAATATGAAGTCATTAAATATACTAGAAAATACATGCATGCAGAAACCCTCGCCTTGCTGACAAACAGACAAAACCATTGTATTTTCCGAACATGAAGTATCTGAAGTAGTTGTCATGGTAACACGATAATTTTTTAAGAATATTCCATTGAACTATAAATAAACTGGAAGGCTAACTCAGGGGGGGGAATTGAAGCCAGTGCATTTTAGTTTTTCTGAGTTATGAGCAGAAATACTCAACACTGAACGTTGGGCTATATATCAAATTGAAGCTATTGAAAAACTCTATTTTGTGTAGAAATTTCAAGACTTTAGCTAAAAGGGAAATATTGAAAAACTACAAACATAATTACCGATAATTTGCCATTTTGCAGTTGTTTTTGTATTTTTTAAATATTTTTCTTTTCGCTGAAGTCTTGAAATTTCCACACCGAATAGCAATTTTCAATAGCTTCAATTCGATATATAGCCGAACGTTTGGGGTCAAGTATTTCTGCTCATAACTCAGAAAAACTATTTTGGCTTCATCAAATCATAGGCCTTCATCATAGCAGTTAGCCTTCCAGTTTATTTATAGTTCAATGGAATATTCTTACAAATGAAAAATCGCCTAAAAAATATCACTTTTAATTACAAAATTATTAATTTGCCAACATATATATGTTAGGTATGTTATTATACGTAATATAAGCCTCAATTTAAGGTAAAATTCAACCACAAACGCTTCGCAAAACGTTTTAAAGTCACTAGTGTTCTTTATAAAACTAAACTGACTTTTAAAATGGCTTTATCGATAAACTTTGAGTTTCCAATAAAATGACTTCGAATTATCGCTTGCAAATAACTCTGCTTTCTTTTTTATTTAAAAAATTCAATATCATAAAAAAGGGAATCAATATTACTAAAGATACACTGAAATAATATGCTGTCTTGTTTAGTTGTTTCATATATGCAAAGGCCGTCGGGTTTTAAATTAAACCATTATAAAATCAATATTTAAAACAAAGTTACCTTCGTTAACGTTGGCTCACTTCTTTTAGCCGATTCTTTCGCTGTTTCTTTCTTGAAATTTACAAAATCTTGCGAAAATGCGAGCGAAAATGAAATATATTTGTGATATTTGCAAGAAATTTATCAATCATCAAATCAAGAAATGTTTGCTATTTAGCTGTCGTCATGCAGTCGTTATAATGCAAACTTTAAATTGGACCAATCAGTTTCGCTATTCATGACAGTCCGCCACATATTTTGAGAACAGTGAGGATGACCACCCACCGAAACTTCGTTGGTGAGCCACGCCCGCGATATTTGATCAACTTTAGACTTCGCTAATGCTTTCGTTTCCCCGGGTGTAAATAGCCGGGGGGAATTAGTACCCTCGCACGGCGCTTCGCGCCGTCGGCTCGGGGATTAACCAGATACATGTTTCATTTATCCAATCACAGAGTAGAGACATACAGAGACGTAACTAGTATACCCACTTTTTTTGTGCGCATGCTCGGCAAGTTACTAGATGCATGCATCTGATTGGATGACGACCTGATGACGACTCACTTTAAGGCCGTTTTCCACTAGGCGAATTTGTTCGCGCGACGCGAAGCGAAAACCGAAATCCGGCAACGTGATTGGTCGGCGAA